AGATATTATTGTTTACCTGCAAATGTGTCTTTGTTTAATGAAGAAAAACTAACATGGCACATCGTGCTCTAGTGCTGCAAATCTAATGTACACCTTCTCTTCTACCTTCAAACAAATAAACACAGGGAAGGGAGTGGTAAGCGACCGCAGCACCCTCGGGTGGGAGCAGATTTTGATCGTTCATGTTTTATGAGTTTTACACAATGATAATTATCTTCTTGTTACGTTAGAGCACACAATGTAAGCAGTAAAATAAGTGAAACAAAAAAAGGGAAAAGAAATAGACATTAAAAATGGAACTTTAACAAAAAAATTCTGGTATTGTTCATTTTAGTCAATCATGATACTATTTATTTTACCCTTTATTTTATCGTTATCGTTAAAACTTAAAATTTTGAAATTCTTTTAATTAATTTTCTCGTTAAAAAAGTAAAATGCTAAAGTAAATTGTATATTAATTGCCCTATTGGGGGACTTGTAAGTGCAAGGCATGATGGCGATAGGCAATAGATGGGATTAAATTCGGGTGCACGTGGTTTGTGGTGTGTCTTTGTTGGTCTGGGTATGCAGGGGCAGTTGGAATATCAGTCAGAAGCTTTTTTACTCTTTAGGCTTAGTCCCCCTTTTCTTTTTACTAAACACACTGCTTGCCGTCGTTTTACGTTTGGCACCTTAACAAAACATCTAGGATACGGATGGCACGAGGCTTAGAAACACCTAGTAAATCGTCTTGTAAGAAAAAACCTAACACGAACACAAACGTCATGAAAGACGGTAAGCTTCAATTCGAGGTTGCGTACTAGAGTTCCATTGTTCGCTCGACTTTGAGTTAATAATGAAAATAATAATAGCATATGTTAGAAAGTTTGTTTCTCTAAACACATGACTGATCCTTTCGAATATGATCATGAAACAAGATATGATCACGAAAGGAGAAGTATCCACGCTTTTACTTTTTGTGGGTAATAATAAGAATAATAATATGATTACATTTTGGTGAGTATACTTGATCTGCAAGTGTAAACGTGATTACTACAATCATGGTGGGGTCTACTGAAAAAGATTAAACCGTAGCGGCCGGCGGAGTGCTAACCCCATTAAATTTCCTGAGATTACCTTGTAATTAGGATGCCTCAAAAGTGCCAACCCATTAAATATTCCCCTTCCAAAAAAATGGAAGGGATCCGGAATTCATCAAGTTTGAGAATTCGAGCTGTTGAAATTTGACTCAACGGTTACAAACAGATGCCTATTTTAAAAGTTATAATAACTTTAACCGTTTGATCAAATTTCAATGGTCTGAATCTCTGAATTTGGTAGATTAGGAGGAATGGATCCGGTAAGGATCCCTTTCCCCAAAAAATATTTAAAAACTGACAATTCTTTGACTGTCAGCTACTGGGGCTGGGCCACGCCAATACAAAGACGCCAAATTGGGCCGGGCAGGATCCCATGGGCATTTGATACTGGTGGGTCCATACTCCCGCGATTTGGATTTAGATCTTATTAAAAGGGATAACAGAAAATTTAGATCATATTTAATTAATTTTTTATTCCAGTTGGCAAAGGAGTGGACACGTACCTGTCATGTCATCATTTAACAAAAAAATTGATAGAAAATTTAACAGAGGTCTGACATTGCAACGAATTCATAAGTTAGGGTATGACATTGCAATGTTTGAAACATGAGGTATATGAGATTGTAGTTCGACACATAATTGAGATGGTTTTGTGTAATTTACCCTTGTTTATGTTGTAGATACGTTATCTAAGACATGAGCGATTATTTGTATTCAATAATGTATTAGCATGGTGGTTAATTTTATGTCTGATTAACGAGATATGTTACATTTAAAACAATTGAATCATAATGATTCAGGGTTTTTTCCTTTAAAGTGGATAAGATATTTACATGCCAAGTATGGCTCGTATTAGTCTATCTACGAGATCATAGACAAATATATTAGAGTAAACAAACAATTCCACTGTAAGTTTTTTAAGATTTAGAATCACGCAACATGGGTTGAAATCACTCAATTCAAAAGACTATTTATTTTTGAAATTTATTGAGACAAGAGATGACATATCCATGAATAATACTCATAATTAATTCCTTAATCAACAATACTCGTAAAGCAAAAGACACCCCCCACACTCATGGTTGTAATAAGTAGACTAGACACAATTATAGTATAACGAAAATGGAAACAAATTAAGTAGTCTCTTTCAATACTCACTGGCAGTGGCCACCAGCCTCCCTTGCAGCTCATAGTCATAGTCCACCTCCATAAACGTGTTATTGCAAAAACAAAAACAAAAAACCATCACCCACAAATTAACCCCTACTTATTATACATATTTTACCCCACTTACACGTTAGGAAAAAACTTGGGTAGTAGTGTTGATTACGTTATCTGGATGTTTCGCATTAGAATATAGAACTATCATGTACATCAATTTCACACAATGCTATATCAAATAGTTGTTCTGTTAGAACATGGGTATGATTGTGAATGTCATAAACTAATTATAATATTTCGAAATCTACGTAATAGACATAAATGTTAAAATTTAAACCTATACAACGATAATAAATATGATAATTAATATTACCACTACTTGAGAGCGTTGAGATAAATACGCTTGTATTGGAACAGTCTTTTTTGGGTGAACTTTGGAAGAGTCTTTTGAGGGAAGCAAAATCGACAAGGGGAGTCAACTACTTATCGTTTACCCAACGTCTTTTTAATCCCGTCTCAACGGCTAGTTACTGGCGGTAATTACCGATATTGTAAGTGCCCCTCTTCTGTTTCTCCCTTTCTTTTATTTCTTCTTCCGCAACTTTCTCCAGAATCTGAGGGAAAATAAACGGAAAATGTTGCAGACGCAGAAGAATTTTCATTTTCTCTCACCCTCCCTTTTCTCACTCTTCTTCTTCTTCTTCTTCTCTCTTTCTCTCTCTAACCCAGAAACCACCGCCCTGCTGGCATTCAAATCCTCCGCCGACACCTTCAATTCGCTCTCCTCCTGGGTCGCCTCCTCCGACCCCTGCTCCGGCTCTTGGTTTGGCGTCACTTGCGACCCGGCGAAACGCCGAGTCACCCGAATCGTTCTGGAGAACCTCAACCTGACCGGTTCGGCTCAGCAACTCACCCAACTCGCCCACCTCAAGCTCCTCAGCCTCAACCGCAACCGCCTCTCCTCCTCCCTCAACCTCTCCGCGTGGCACAACCTCAACCACCTGTACCTCTCGCGCAACCGCTTCGAAGGATCCCTTCCTGCCGGAATATCCCGCCTCCGCCACCTCAGGCGGCTCGACTTATCGCACAACCAATTCTCGGGCGAAATCCCACTGACCGAGTTGGCTCAGCTGCCTCACTTGCTAACTCTCCGCCTGGAGTCCAACTCGTTCACCGGCATCCTCGCCTCCGCGCACTCGATTTCTGCGTCGATTTCGGACTTCAATGTTTCGCACAACAACATCTCGGGGAAAATTCCAACGTTTCTGTCCAAATTCGGCGCGACGTCGTTCGCCGGAAACGAGCATCTCTGCGGCAACCCATTGCCATACAAATGCTCCGATCCAACGGCCGCTAACTTTTCCGTACAAACCCGGAACCGACACGATAGCGTTTTGAGTAACGCCTCGCTGCTCGCGATCAGTATCGTCGGCGCAGCTGTTACGCTGTTAGTGATAATAGTGGCCGCCACGTGGTATCGGCTCACCAAATGTCGCGGGACCCACAGCGAGACAGCCAACGGACACGGTTACGTGAGCAAGCATTACGGGCCCGGAGAGTTAACGAAGAAGAAAAGTACAACTGGAGTCCAATTGGCCCAGTGTGCCCAGTCTAATGTGAACGGGCCTGTAGGTGGGCCCAGAGAAAGCGAAGACATGGTTGTATTGGAAGGGTACCGGGGCTCCGACAAAGTGGGGGATCTGCTGAAGGCATCGGCGGAGATGCTGGGTAAGGGGAGCGTGGGTACCACTTTCAAAGTCGTGACGGACGGCGGACACAAGGTGGTGGTGAAGAGGGTGAGGGAGAGGAGAAATGGCGGGAAGGAAATCGATGGGTTTTTGAAGCAGATTGGCGGGCTGAGGCACCCCAACATCGCCGCCCTCAGAGCCTACCACAATTCCAACCACGAGCTGCTTTTGGTCTACGATTTATTCCCCGAGGGAAGCTTGCATTCCGCGCTGCATGGAAACCGAGGACCCGGAAGAACGCCGCTTGCTTGGGCCGCAAGATTGAAGCTTGCTGCGGGGTCTGCAGAGGGACTGGCCTTCCTCCACGGCTGCAGCAAATCCAAGCTCTTTCACGGAAACCTCACTTCGTCGAACATATTGGTGGATCGAACGGGAAACGCCTGCCTGGCAGACGTCGGCCTCCAGCAGCTCCTCCCTGCTCCGTTTTCATCATCAACAAGTGCATACAGAGCTCCTGAATTGATGGGGTCCCATAATAAAACTCCGAGAAAGTTCACGCAGAAATGCGATGTTTATAGCTTTGGGGTGGTTCTGTTGGAGATTTTGACGGGGAGGATGGCGGCGGAAGAAGGAGAGACGAATTTGGTGGAGTGGGTTAAGACCGCGGTGCAGAAAGAGTGCAATACTTGGGAAGTGTTGGATTTTGAGCTGTTGGGGGATAGAGCGATGGAGGGCGAAATGTGGGCTCTTTTGGAGGTGGGGTTGCTCTGTGTTACTCCGTTGCCTAAAGATCGCCCGACGATCGGTGTTGTGCATCGGATGATTGAAAATATTCGGAACAAGGCTGTTAGAGAAGATGGTGCCAAGTTTATTTTAGATGAGCTCACTTCTGATTCTTCTTCACCTTCACATTCACATTCTGCAAGCACTTAATGATTTCATTTCCAAAAGCTTCATTGTGCTTAATTTAATTCATACTGTGTTAAATGTTTTGTACTCTCATAAGCATTGCATTGAATCATTTGAATAAAAAGACGTTTGATTGTTTTAAATTTCTAACAAGAAGAGCCGAACTCAAGACCTGCTGACCTTTAATTAGTTGTATCACAAAGTCAACGAGTTACAAGATGACTGACATTACGACAATTAGATATGAAAATAAATTTCAAATCTTTGCAGGTGCAAAACGTAAAAGACAATATCTTCTCTGTGGATCCGTGTTAATTACATTTCTAAACATAAACCGGGTCGAAGAACTCTATAGAAAGGCATAAGATGCAAGGTCTTGCCGCTTCCTTTCCTTTTTCTATGGTGATGAACATATTGTCACTAGAGTTCTTTGAAGAAGAATGAGAGTAATGCTTGAGGAAATTTTATCGAATCCATGATTTACCAGAAGGAGATAAAAATGGTCTTAACCAAGACCTCACAAGCCGAGCCCCTTACTCCACCCATCCCCACCGATCCCCTTACTCCATCATGCTCACCGGAAAGAGGCTAACCACGATGTACTTGTTGATAGTATACTTGCCTCCGCATCAGATTGCTCCTCTAGCCATGCCAGCAGCACCTCAAGGTCAATAGAGTTTGTCAAATACTGTTCCGATTAGTTAGACTAATCAGTTGTATTAAGTTTAATTAAATTTGTTTAGCTTGTATACATAGAGCTGAGTCTAGCCAAAGTATGTATCGAACGAGCTCATTTGTTTCGATTCACAAAAGACAGTTCTTTATCAATGGAAGTCTTCGTCAATTCTTTCATGGTATTAGAGCACGTACTTGAAGGTTCTCCTTCGTTTTTAATTTTTTCTTCTTTCTGATGTACCAAAAACAGTTACACACAAATCTAAACTGAATTGTAGCAAAAATAACAGTGCAGGATAATCTCATTCCTCCTTTACAATTTCTAACTCCTTAATCCTGAATTGGGTTGTAATCTTGTTCTACCAAATCTTCATCCCTGAAAAAATTCAAACAAATGCCGATAATTAGCAAAACAAAATTAAAACTTAAAAATTCATCAATGGCGGTTAAGTTGGCAATTTTTACTTCAAGTGGGAATTTTCTTCCTAGAGGACAACCCCATTTCCCGGTTCTTGATATCAAACACATTGCTCTGTTCTTGATAAAAACGAGTTCTTCAACAACATTGCTGTGTTCTTTGAACAAATTACCAATCTTTGTTCAAGTGGGAATTTTTTATCCTACTTAAAAAAAATCAATGCCTCTGGTTTAAAACTTAAAAGTTTTGAAATTTTATCGAAAAGTTTCGGTCAGGGCTTAAAAACACATCGCTCAGTTCTTGATGAAACAAAGTTATTCAACAACATTGCTGTGTTCTTGAACGAATTGCCTAATTTTATTTAATTGGGTATTTATATTCCTACTTAACAAACCAATTTGAATGGCAAGAACTCAAAAGTTGCGAAATTTTATCGAAAAGTTTCAGTCAGACCTTATATCAAACACATTGCTCTGTTCTTCGTGAGGCTGCGGAACAACTCCTCCACCAACATGGCCTTGTTCTTCTTGTTCTTGAAAAACGTTCTTCTGCACCAGATGAAACTGCGTCTGATCGTACACATTTCCCGCACCCACATTGTACTTAAAGTCCCCCAGACACTGCGCCATCGGCATAACATTGCCGCCGCCGCGGCACAATTCGAGTTGGTAGCGCACGCGGTCGAGTTCAGCCTGGTGCTTGTTGATGGACCAGAGCAGCGAGCGGACGACGGCGTGGCAGCCGCCAACAGGGTCTTTGGCGCGGTGGTCGGCTTCGACGAAGATGGTGGACATGGCGGGGGTTCGGAGGTGGGGAGGGAGGTCGGTGACGAGTTTGGCGAGTCTACTGACGCCGAACAGTTTGAGTGCGTTGTGGAAGTTTGTGGGGTGGTTGGAGGGGAAGTAGGGGGCCAAGGGGCAGTCCTCTGGGCATTTTTTGCGCTGGTGTTTACAAGCGGCGCAACTTCTGGACTTCGTCATTGGGATTTTTTTAGGCTATTTTATCGGTTTGACAAGTGCTTGGAGAATTTTGAGGGAGGGAAGAGAAATTTCAGTAGAGAGAGAGAGAGAGAGAGAGAGAGAGAGAGTAGGGTTTGTTGGTGTTGGGATTTTGGGAGAAAATCCAGGGACGTGGAGTTAGTTATAGCCTACGTGGAGCGTGGTTGTGGCATTTTTTGAATTATGAGACCCCAAAAAACTAAAAGAAACTAATAAAAAAAGTTTGATAACTTTGAATTTTAATGATAAGGATAAAATAAAGGGTAAATGAATAGTACTAGAATTGATTTTTTAATGTAAAAATGTAGTTTTTTGTTAAAATGAACAGTACCGTGTTAAAACTCCCAAAAACTAATGAAGTTGGAGAATGGAAGTTCATTTCTTGAATTTTTGTTAGTGCATTTTTTAATTTTGTTTTTCGGGTAGGTCCAGAAAAGTTCTCTAAATTAAATTATGCATTTATTTATTTATGCTGATTGTTTGAACTTGATCTCACCAAATCGAGGTAAGACTAGTGTTATAAATACAGTCAGTCGTGAAATGAGAACACTAAATCATGATTCAGATTTACAGTTTGACAACATAAATATCTTATACCTTTGAAAAGGGTGCAAAATAACATTTTCGAACCAATATATAAACAAGAATTTTGGAAGCAATCCTTAAAGATGAGGATTATTTTGCTCCAACTGAAATCAAGGCTCTCACCACCCTCAAAGTGCCAATCAAAATTAAGTTACCATACCCCTCTAACAACACCACCAACATTATTGTCCTTGGGCACAAATAACCACACCATCAAAAACCTCAGGAAAAAGCATCACATTCACAACATCTTAATCTCATCTCAGCTCATCCAACAGAGTGTACAGCTTCCCAAACTAGGTTCTTCGGAACCGGTCTAGCTAGATCGCGAGCCTGCAACGCTGCCGTGCGCAGCGTCCTAACGGTGAGTTCATTGGCCTTGTAGAATGACACACTTGTGAAAGGCAGGTTGTGCTTCTCACAGAGTGCCTTGATAAGGGGGGCCACTTTCCTGACGTTGCCCCGAGTCAACCGCGGAAACATATGGTGCTCGATCTGAAACTGCAATCCGCCGTGGAACCAGTCCATCCACGACGGGCAGACTATATTGAGCGAACCATTCGTCTGGTTTTCACACCAATCGTTCGCCGTTGGCATACCAACGTATACCCTTGAAGAGAAATGGTTCAAGCAGAACTGAACATGTAGGATTCCAGTGACAGAAAAGCTTGCCACAACGAACATTACTCTCTCCCTCCAATTGTGCAGGTAAGAAATCAGCAGAGCATACCAAATCCAAAACACCAAAAGCCCCAAAATTTCTTCAATTCTATTATTTACCCTCAATCTTTTGGAAGATAACAGTAAAAATGACTGAGCAAAAAGGTTAATCCTAGCAAAACACATGACGGTAAAAAGTCCAGTACTGGTAACTAACCAAGAAGCTGGTACAAGCATCGAAACTCATCTTCCTGTCGTAGTAATAAGAGGTGAGGGAGGTGAACAGTTTTGAATTCACAGCGAAAAAGGGCATGTGCTGGAGATCCGGATCGAGTTCGAGGCTGTTGACAGCAATGTGATGGGCGTTGTGGTTGCGCTTCCACCACGCAATGCTGATGCCGGCAAGGCAGTTTCCGGTGAGGATCTGGGCGAATCTGTTGACCCTTTTGCTGCCGATGATCTGGTAGTGACCAGAATCGTGGCCGTGCCACCCGCTTTGAATCCAGAGAAAACCCATCAATCCACCGGAACCCAGATGAACCCAACAGCTATCAGAGCACAAGACGCTGTAGACGCTCAGAGTAAACAGCATTGCCACCAGAAACAGAGAGAAATGGACGCCGTGTCCCCTGTTTTCGAAAAGCCCCATTTTCGTAAACTCGTTGACGAGCTTCCTGTAATCTTTGGAAACTTCGGAAACAGAACTTCCTGTAATCTTTGGAAACTTCGGAAACAGAATAGCTTTCGAGCTGGAATCCGGTGGAGAACTGGTCGAGGTGCTGCCACGCCGACCCGGGGTGGTAAGCGACGAACGCGTCCGTGACGTCTTGGCCGGCGAGGCTGAGCAACGGGAGCTCGCCGCCGGGATGGTGGTTGGCCCAATCGGAGACGTTGTAGATCTTGCCCTGTATTGAGATCCATAGATCTCCAGGCTTTGTGGGTGCTGAGTTTATCCTGGGAAATGTACTTCTTTGACTCTGCCCCCATTGGAGTGATATGAGAGGAAAAAGCAGAGGTTTTTCGATTCGAATTCTTCACTTCCCCACTGAACTCTTCCTTTCGGGGTTTTCCCAAAGGAAGAGACTTTTCTATGGATCGATGATTTCTGCATGTTGGGGTTTAAATCTTTTGTTTATCAGATGAAACGGAAATGTCAAATTAACTACGTAACGTTACATAAGATAATCCAAATGTGTCGATCGTGCAACATTGACGTTCTGTTTCATGTAACTCAGAATTCAGTGGATTTTGTCCACAAAATATACGAGTGTATCTTATGAAGGTTGGATATAATATGCTACCTGGATATGCCAAAGTATGTGAGAAAACATCTTCATCCTCCATTGGTGCAAAATCTAGTCATAACAATAGAGGGATCTTGCAATCTCTCGGGCACACCATCATGTAATTTTACTCAGTGAATCATGTTCTAATACGGATATCATTTTATATATATTACTAATTCATAATATAAATAGCGGTGTTGAGTCCTATATAGGACTCGATTGTTTGACTGTAACATTGAAAAGAAATCTAAGATAATGCTTACATTCCTCCTTTGGGAATGAGCTTAGGAGCGGGTTCGATTCCAATTGGTTCGAATGCCAAGAGAGTCCAGAACCACTGCAAATAGACGGGAAAGGAAAGTGAGAGTCCAATCTCCTAGTGGGTAAAGTATGAGTTTTTGCTCATGCGTTCTAAGTTCAAACTCTTTAAATTATTGTAATAGTTTCGAAATCTTTTCACATCTCCTAATAACAGCAAACTTAAAAAAAAAAGAAAATAAAAAAAAAGAAAGAAAAACAGAGGGGAGAAATAAAAAGAAGAAAGAAGGGAAGATAAGGATCTTTGCCCTGGTTTTATGGAATCCAGTTTACCAAAAAAAGAAAAAAGAAAAAACTCAAAACCCATCAGAGAGGGTAAAAATCAAAAATAGACAAGGGATGTTCTCCAGTGCCTTTTGAGTTATTACTCCTACACTGACTCATTGCATTTTTTAACTCGTCTACATTCCCAGTTATTATAACTACGGAGATACACAAATTATAACTCAATGCAGCAGCATAATACGGTACCCGAACAAAAAGGCCGCTGAGAGTAAAATTTTAGGGTAAATTACACAAATCTACCTCAACTATGGGTTGAACCACAATCTCATACCTCATATTTTAAACACTGCAATGTCATACCCGAACAAAAAGGCTGCTGAGAGTAAAATTTTACTATATGAACATTGACACTAATAAATAGATGCCCGCGACTCATCAACCTGTCCCGTTCTAAGATCCAACAGGAGCAATACCTGTTGACTTGGCCGCAGCAGTTGCGGCAGCGGCAGCGGCGGATGCAGCCGCAGCGGCGGATGCAGCTGCGTTAGGGGTGGAGGGTGGCACTGCCTTAGACTGCGAGTTGCTCTTCGCTGCAACTACTTGCTGGTACGGTTGCTGCTGTTGCTGGGAGCTTACTTGTGCAAGCAAGGATTTGATCTGAGTTCCAGTGAGTGTTTCCTCCTCCAGTAAAGCATTAGCAAGGGCGTAATGTTCCTTGCTGTGTTCGGTGAGGATGGCTTTTGCATTGTCGTATGCCCTTTCCAATAAGTACTTCACTTCTTCTTCGATGAGCAGCCTGGTTTCTGTGCTCATGCTCTTACCATTGTCGTCGTAATTGTGACTGACGAGCCCAACTTGTTTGCTCATGCCGTACTTCGTAACCATTGCTCTAGCAAGCGAAGTTGCTTGCTGGAGATCATTTGATGCACCGGAAGTAACTTCACTTTCTCCAAAAATGAGCTCTTCTGCAACACGCCCCCCCATACAAACATCAAGCCGTGCTAGCATCTGTTTCCGGGAGACACTTGTCTGGTCCTTGTCGGGCAGCTGCATAACCATGCCAAGCGCCATACCCCTAGGAACTATTGTTGCCTTGTGAACTGGATGAGCACCATCAGTGTGGATTGCTACAAGTGCATGGCCACCCTCATGGAAAGCTGTTACCTTTCTTGACTCATCAGATATAACAGCTGACTTGCGTTCGCTTCCCATCATAATTTTGTCTTTTGCATATTCAAGATCAGCCATGTTCACTGCTTTAGCACCGTCCATGGCAGCTTTCAGAGCAGCAATGTTGATCAAGTTCGCAAGATCAGCTCCGGAGAACCCCGGAGTTCCTCTGGCAATAATACTCAAATCGACGTCACTGGCCTTCAGAACCTGTCAAAAGAACATCTTGATTAGTCTTGGAGTGACTTCTAGTTCTAAAGAATCTGCTGCATCAATCTAAAATACAACTTACAATGCAATTCTTGGTGGTGTCTAACAAAATCTATCATAAAAAGAATACCTTCGACATGTGGGCTTCCATAATCTGCCTTCGCCCTTCAACATCAGGATTAGGGACAACAATGTGCCGATCAAACCGTCCAGGTCTCACCAATGCCTTGTCCAGAGATTCTGGGAAATTAGTAGCAGCAATGACAATAATCCCTTCATTTTGTTTAAAACCATCAAGTTCGACAAGTAACTGATTGAGGGTCATCTTCATGTACTTCTGATCCATTGGGTTTCGGCTTCCTCCTATTACGTCTATCTCATCAATGAATATTATACAAGGTGACTGCTTCTTTGCAGCCGAGAAAAGATCCCTTACCCTTCGAGCCCCTACACCAACAAACATCTCTTCAAACTCACTGCCGCTGCATGAAAAGAAAGGTACCCCGGCTTCTCCGGCAATGGCTCTTGCTAACATGGTTTTCCCAGTGCCAGGTGGACCAACAAGCAAGACACCTTTTGGGAGCTTGCCACCTAGACGAGTGAAACGCTGCACCGAGGGAAATCGCATTAAGGCGCATGCCCCACAATTAGAATAAATTAAAAAAAGAAGATAAAAAGAGTGCAAGCATGGGAAACAAATGGCAACAATCACGATGGATTTGGAATATCAGCCCATCTCCAGCTAAACTATAGTTAGTACACCACAAGATCAAGGTAATCAAGATTGTACTCTCCAATTGATTTAAAGGAACACAATGCAACGAGGGGAAATTTTTTCGAGTGGACTGAGACCATTTCAAGCCCTTTGCGCTAAAAGTTTACTTCCAAAATCACCACCTTATGTTGGATGAAATAGCAATTATATTTCCCCCATTCCAGAAATCAGGGGGTATAGGGTGATGACTAAAAGGTCTTCATATTCCATATTCTTCTATACATAAGGTTGATGCATTTACCTTAGGATCTCGAAGATAGTGAACAATTTCCTCTAACTCAGATTTAGCCTCATCAACACCCTTTACATCACTAAATTTTGTGCTTGATTCTGTGATAGGTTGAACCTCCTCATTTAGTCCGAGTCCTGAAATGTGGAAATGGAAAATTAAAAGGACAAACTTTCATCATTTTTAGAAAGCATCTTAATCAATTGGCAGAAGAGTCTAAAGCACCAAGAGATAGTAATACCTTTGCTTATTCCTTTATCCTCAATGAGTGCTCCTATACCAGATATCAAAAGAAAGGCCAGTGCGATAGAGCGAATTGTACGCCACAGCTGCTCTTTAAACTGACCACCTTCTGTAGCCACCATATGAATAGGAGCATTTGCAGTTCCAAGAATACCTTCTTTCGTAGTTTTTCCAAAATTCTTGAGAACTGAGAAGCCGGCAATGCTTTCTTCTTCCCTTGCAGAGTTAGCAACACCTACAGAATTTGTAGAGGATAGCTCAAATTTATAAGCCAGGTCAAGGTGAAAAAAACTAAAAAAGTATTTACTAAGCGTAACATTGTTCGCAGAAAATTCAACAGAAGTTCAGGATCCCTATAACACAAGAAAAAGGGAATTTAATTATAAAAATGTAGGGTACTAAAAAACCGTCATCCAATTAAACTTTTATAAACCCTACTTCAACCATAAGCTTAGCACAAATTAGACATGTCTACAAGATAAAGATGAACTAGGGTGTAATTTTGTAGAAACAATTAAAAAAGAAACATAACCGTGTTCCGTTACCCACCTCTCTGCAATGTCTTGAGTAAACCACTGTCATCCAGCCTGCCAACTCTTACTAATGCTTTCACATATTCAGAAAGTGCTGAAGGGTTAGAATGTAATGAAGGTTGACTTTCAAATGCTCTTATCACTGCTTCATAGTCACTCCGATGGTAAAGTTCTTTTAGATAGGAAATTTCACTAGCTTCATCGGTATCGCGTACTCTACGGCTGAAATTGGCAACATAACTGGACTTGAATCTTTCTTGAGTACTTAAAAACTTATTCCCTGCATAAGGTTTAAAAGAAAGCAATCATTTCTATAAGTGAAGATAATGGAGAAGAGTATTCTGTCTTTCACTTAAAGCCTAAACAATGAAGTACCTAAAGGAACAAATTGACAAGATAATAAACAAGAAACATATTTCTTTGCAAGTTTGAAATGAAGAACAAAAGATATATAAAAATCAAATTTTGAATACGTCATACCTCCGGCACCTCCTCCTAACCTGTTGGTAGGATGATAAGTTCTGGTAACCACTTTTGTCAGTTGTCCCAACTCTGATCGATGCCTTGAAACCTGTTAAGAAAGAACATGGAGTTAAAAATAACCCAAAGAAACAACAGAAGTATGTCTAAGAACGCAATTAAAATTTAAATGGTTCCATCCTTTTGCTCGTTGAGATAGAAAACTAAAATGTAATTGGAAAACAACCTCGAGTACAGCATTCATTAAGGCATCGACTGCAAGTTCTCAACAGTGAAAAGGGAGGGACTTGGATTGTATACCCACTTTCCTCCTTCCAACAAAAACATCAAACTCCTTTCTTTTATGACCAAAAGAGGTGACCCAAGTTCCAACCCTTAAAATACAACTACACATGGTCCTATTGAAAAGAAACAACGCAACCTCGACCAATCATAATCGGCCTTTGGACCACCTAAAAGGAGCTTTCAACTAACTCTCCGTTCATTTGCGGATACAAGCAACAAACTAAGAGGAAACGAAAATTCAGATAACATCCGATTTTCCTAACGGGCTCAAAAGGTCCATCTCCAATTGGGTTCCCAATTGGTACGGATTTTAACATCTAAATTACAAATTTCCAAAGTCTTCGCAATGTAAGCATCATGTAAACCCATAAAACTCAAAGCGAAACAAACCCCTATACCGCAACACCGCAAATATGAACAACATGGTTACAGAAATTAACCTAACGACCAAATTCCTAAGCAATCAAAATACAGGAATTAAGGTTTTCGAGATCAAGTTAAAAGAAACATACTATTTCACTGGGAAAACAATTCTAT